TGAATATGGTAGCTACATTAGATAGCATGATTAAGTAGGTCTCTTTATTAAGTAATACATAGGTGGAAGCATGAAGAACTAGAAGTTTAAAATGCCAAGATTCAAGGGAAGAGCAATCTAGGCAGAACACAGGCCACAATGCTTGTTCCTAGAATCAGTAGAGTCAGTAACAGAATCAACATTGATATGGCTTAGTAAAAATGTTCAGTAACCGCCAAGATATCCGACCCCACCCCATGCTTGCTTCCACACTCTTTCCACTAAAGGATATAAACTTAAAGCTAGAAGTGTGTCATACACGATGGTATACACCTATAATACCAGCAACTCGGGAGGCTGAGGCAGGAGGATCACAAGTTAGAGACCAACCTCAGTAACTTAGCAAGATCCTGAGCAACATAGTGAGAACCTGTCTCAAAATAAAAAAAATAAAAATAAAAAGGGGTATAGATGCAGCTTAGTGGTTAAGCCCCTTGGTTCAATCCCCAGTACAAAAAAAAAAAAAAAAAAAAAAGCCTGAAGTGGAGAAAATAATGCTAAAAATGGCTCAAGAAGCAACAGAAAGGTAAATGTCATTTGACCTCTACTGTCATAATATGTGAGAGAAAACACAGAGGTGGTAGTTGTAGAGCAGTACTTTTCACCATATATAACCTTTCTTTTTAAGGAAGTTCTTTCCTGGAAGATTTTCTCACCTAAAACCTACTGTGATCTTTCATATTCAATTTCTCTGGTTTGTTCCTTGGGGAAAATATGCAGCAGTGTTTTTGGACTCAGCACACAGACCAGATGATTTGGCTCTGTGGCATAGAATCATTTTGGAATTTTTCCCTCCCTAGAATGAGTAGCAATAACAGCAACAGCAATTAATCCTCAAGACGCTTTTAAGCCCATTTGGGGTTTGAGTTTTTCTATTTATTTTTAAATGACTCCCAAATTACCTGCTTTCTGAGGTGGCAGAAGGAGCAACTGTTTTCTCAGTTTTTGTGTGGTTTACATGAAGTTGCTAAAAGTGAAGAAGGTGGCCAACTGAAAACTTGAGTGTCAAATACCACAAGTAAGAGACACAGACTGACTAACGTAGGTTGTTTCACAGTGATATTTACAAAATGTAACACAGTGAATGTAGGCCAGATGTGGAAAAGGAGATAAACCAAGACTTGGTGTTTTAACTAGTATGAAAAATGCATAAAGTTACTTTAGCTTTCAGATAAGAGGAAAAGGTGTTATAACTGCCAAAAGGGGCTTTTACAGAAGTTTCAAATAGAAAAAGACAAGATTGAGGGAACTTCAAGAGCCCAGCTGGGTGTTTTCCAAGGGCACTTTTGGGGTAGCAGCAGCTTAGAATTTACCATTGTCTGACCTCCGGGTCTAAGGTTCCAGGAGCCTTATTTTGTTAGCACATTCACAGTAAATGCAATTTCCTCAGAAGTCTCACTGTTCATTCAAGAGTGTTTGTTAAAATTATATGTGTCAGACTTTGTGTTCTAGGCATTAAAATGGAATAGTGAGCAATATAAATATTAAGTCTCTCCTGATGCGCACATTCTGCCTTCAATTAGGTTAGTACACTTACAACCTAAATATCTGATTTTTCAGATTTGTGAGGTCACACAATCCCAAACAACCAAATTTGACCATTCATGCTACTTAAGAAAACCTAAGGCTGGGGTTGTGGCTCAGTGGTAGAGTGCTTGCCTAGCACATGTGACGCACTGGGTTTGATCCTCAGCACCACACTAAAATAAATAGATAGATAGATAGATAGATAGATAGATAGATAGATAGAGTCCATCTACATCTAAAAAATATTTTTAGGAAAGAAAGAAAATCTAGTCATTTACCAAATTTCTCTCCCAAGGAAAATCCTTAAAGAATACTTACACAGCACTTAGATCCATCCTAGTTACCCAGCACACAGTAGGTACTCAGTAAATGATTTTTATGTACATGAATGAATTTTTTAAATCCCTTACATTTAGATTTGCAAAGCGCTTTCATGGTCCTTCCATTGTAATTAATCACTTTACTGTGTGCTCTGCAGAATCTATAGCATTGTGGGGAATAACTAAGAAACAAGACCCTCTCCCTGCCTTCTGGTGGGTCATATCTCATTTGTGGAAAACATGAATATATACATTTGACACATAACTAAGAATCCAAAATGAGTGAGCAATCTAGAAGGACTCAATGGGTCATTTATTAGCCAGGTAAAGTCTCACATTTGGAAATGAGAAATCCTAACATAGCAAAGGACAAGTTTAATTTGAGTTATGCATAGTGCTTAGAGCCCACATTCAGACCCCCCTGACTGGAGCAGAGACTTGATGGAAAACATTTGGATTGGCCAGATGGGGCCAAATTCAGGAATTTGGGCTTCACTGGCAAATAGAAAGGAGCCATTTATGAATGGTTGTACAGAGAGAAGCATAATGATATTGCTAACATTTATTATGATTGAAGGGAAGAAAAAGTCAAATATTTCAAACTTCACTAAACAGAACAGAGATATTACTAATGGAATCAAGAAGATTTTTATTTTCACCTCAAAGGGATGAATCTTGAATAAATATATAAAAAGAAGTTGTTGCAATAAGATTGGGGGGTTGGAGAATAATCAAAATGCCTTTCAAAAATAAACTATTTCAGTCAGGTGCAGTGGCACATCCCTGTAATCCCAGCAACTCGAGAGGCTGAGGCAGGAGGATCGCAAGTTCAAAGGCATCCTCAGTCATTTAGTGAGGCCCTAAGCAACTTGGAGCATGTCTCAAAAAAAAAAAAATCAAAAGTGTGGTGATGCAATTCAGTGGTTAAGTGCCCCTGGGTTCAATATCTGGTACCAATAAGTAAATAAACAAACAAACTATTTCAGCAGAGAAAAAAAAATAAATTGGTTGAAAGTCTCTAATCTCAGGTTGTACTAGATTTCTAAATCAACTTTGCCCTAATATGTCTTTCTCACTACTTCTATTCAATTCAACAAGTACTAACTGATCACCAAGTATATGGTAGGTCTTTGTTAGGCACTGTAAGTATAGAAAAGAAGCATAGGAAGGTGACAATCTGATGAATTATGCTACTGTTGAGTGCTTGCTATACATCAGATTCCTAGCTTTCCATGAATTTAATCCTTTTAACCACCCTGAAAGCTAGATAGGACTATCTTCATTTTGTAAGAAATTAAGATTCAAAAAAGACTGAATTAACCCCAAAACTTATTAAGTTACTTGCCCTAATGTCACAGAGCCAGCAAGCAACCAATGGAACCAGGATTCACATTAAGGTCTGACTGATGTTCTTACTTTTAACTACCACTCCATTACCTAGGGCTTACATGCATAAAACAATTAAGGAACAATACAAGCTAATACCATTCAGCATTTCTCATTTGTGATTTTAGTGACTTTATGATTCTGTAGGCTCTGTGTGACTGGAAGCTGGTAGAAGGGGACTGAAACGTGCTGTAGAATATTATCTTCGGATAACCTTTCTGAGGCCTATAGGTAGGTCAAGCAAGAGAGGGAGAATGTCACAAAATTTCAATCCCTCAACACCTTGACTTATTTCTCCCTCTCCAATTATTGAACCACACACACTTTCTAGCACCTTTCCAGCTCTATGCTTTCACCTTGACCCAATCTTACACAACCCAGATACGTGCCTTGCAGTGCTCTAACTTGAGACAAAACTAGAACACATAATAACTATATGAGATGGGGGATAGAATGTCCCTCATCTAAATAACACTTCTCTCAGCTGGGCTATTGATAGGAGACACAGAAGACAAGTCAATGTTATTATATTCACTGTCAAGTATCTGGAGCATCTAATCTAGTTCAGAGGTCTCTACATTATTTAAAAAGATATATGCACCCAAAATTATATATGAATTTATTTACAAATTACATACACATAAGTATATTAATATATTACATACTAATGATACAAACATACACAGAAATGTTTAAAGGATGGGAAAATAAAACTAGTGGTATTTAAAACAAGAGTATACTTTGCATAAATGATACCTAAGTAATTTTATCCTTTCCTAAAACTATTACTCAACAGAGTTTATTGAGAGCAATATGACTTAACATTGGGCCCTTAATTTTAAAATCCTATCATACAGCAATTTGAAAGACTTGTTCCAGATTAGGTGGAAATTTATTTGTTTTGGTTTGATTTGGTTTGGTTCAGTTGTTTGGTACTGGGAACTGAACCCAGGAGCATTGAGCTTTATCCCCAGTCCTTTTTATTTTTAGACAGGGTCTCACTAAGTTACCTGGGATTACAGCTGTGCACCACTGCACCACTGCACCACTGCACCTGGCTCTAAATTAGGTTATTTTGATACCAGGTTTTAATGAATCTTGGTTGAAAAAGAGCTCAAAGATACAAAGATAGAAACAGAAGAAATAAATCATTGTCTGTGCTTAATATATCATAATGCATTTTTTAAATATTTATTTTTTTTAGTTTTAAGTAGACACAATAACTTTATTTTTCTTTCATGTGGTGTTGAGGATTGAACCCAGCACCCCGCGCATGCCAGGCAAGCACGCTACCGCTTGAGCCACATCCCCAGCCCTCATAATGCATTTTTTAAAAATTTCATCCTCCAATTATTTAAGAACATTTGTTGTAATTTATCTACTAAACTTCCTTATTTCTTGATGACAATCACGTATGCTTACAAAAAATCAGAAGGTATGGTATCTTAACATTCTTACCATAGGGTTTATAAAAATTCTTCATTTGGAAGAATTTTAAAGAGGTTAGCAATATTTCTTTCTAGCCAGGTGCAGTGGCACACACCCATAATACTAGAAATTTGGGAGACTGGATCATAAGGATCAAAAATTCAAGGCCAGCCTTGGCAATTACTTAGTGAGACCCTGGCTCAGTGGCAAACCTCCTGTGGGTTTAGTCCCTAGTACAGAAAGAGAAGAGAAGAGAATTTGATCAATTTCTAATTTTTAAAATTATACAGATACCGACACGCCGCCACTCTGCTGCTGCCATGTCTCTAGTGATTCCTGAAAAGTTCCAGCACATTTTGCGAGTACTCAACACAAACATGGATGGGCAGCAGAAAATAGCCTTTGCCATCACTGCCATTAAGGGTGTGGGGCGAAGGTATGCTCATGTGGTGTTGAGGAAAGCAGACGTTGACCTCACCAAGAGGGCTGGAGAACTCACTGAAGATGAGGATGAACATGTGATCACCATTATGCAGAATCCACGACAGTACAAGATCCCAGACTGGTTCTTGAACAGACAGAAGGATGTAAAGGATGGAAAATACAGCCAGGTTCTGGCCAATGGTCTAGACAACAAACTCTGGGAGGACCTGGAGCGAATGAAGAAGATTAGGGCCCACAGGGGACTGTGCCACTTCTGGGGCCTTCGTGTCCGAGGCCAGCACACTAAGACCACTGGGCGCCACAGCCGAACCATGGGTGTATCTAAGAAGAAATGAGTCTGTAGGCCTTTTCTGTTAATAAATAGTTTATACACCAAAAAATGTATATTATACAGATACCAAGAGGTTTATTTTAGGTGATAAAGCAATGAAATCACATTAAAAAATTAAAAAGAAGGATGGTGGAATATGTTTCTAAGATGGGAGTCTGTAAGTTGCTGAGGCTGCCTTGAACTCACATTCCTTCCAACTCAGCCTCCATATAGCAGGGATTATAGGTGCAAGCCACCACACCAGGCTCTTCATTTTTAAAATACACTTATTTTTAGGAGTTAATTTTTATTTATTGCTAAAAATCACCTTGAATGGATAGTTTAAGTCTTTTTAATAGTATCCTCTGGATATCATACTACTACCAACTACTTAGCAAGAAAGGTCAGCAAATTTGGAATATTTCTCTGTGTTCAAAAGAAAAAGTGTAATTTATCTCTAAGTTCAAGTTTTTAAAATATTTCCCCCAAGTTTACTAGTGAGCCCTCTGGGTTGTACAAAAGAGTTCCATGGTCATTCTCCATCTCCTTGCAAACTACTGAATATTTGATTATTTAAGATCATATAAGCCAGAACCTTCTCCCTACACAAGTAAACCACAGTTTCTTGCAGTGCCTTGAAAACAAAAAATACAGTGAGGACTTTGCTGAAAACTGCTTTAAATTATGAAACACCCACTCTTTCTTCAAGGTGCTGGCAGACATGTGTGACATGTCTAGCAGAGATCCAAGTGAGTAGGCAATGCCAATCCAAAGATGAAGAATTAGCAAGGCTTGGGGCTGGGGTTGTGGCTCAGTGGTAGAGTGCTTCCTCACATGTGTGAGGCACTGGGTTTGATTCTCAGCATCACATATAAATAAATGAATAAGATAAAGATTCATCAACATCTTAAATTTTTTGAAAAAAAAGAATTAGCAAGGTTTATTTTTTGTTTTTAGATAAAAATTAAGTATAAATTTTAATGTTTTGATGAGGCACAGTGGCATATACCTGTAATATCAGCCACTCAGGAGGCTGAGGTAGAAGGATCACAAAATCGAGGCTAGTCTCAGCCACTTATCAAGACCCTGTCTCAAATTAAAAAATAAAATGTTGAGGGTGTAGCTCAGTGGTAGAGTGTCCCTGAGTTCAATCCCCAGTACCAAAAAAATAAATTAAAATTTTATTGTTTTCCCCATACCCAAATAGATCATCTTGCATATTCTCTAGGAGTCCAAACATCCCCCACTTTGGAGACCATTGGCCTAAGATAAACCACCACTAAATGTAAGCCATGAATTTTAAAATCAAATGAGTAGCTGGGTGGTAAAGTCTAAATGAGTAAATGGGTGATTTAAGAGAGTTGAGAAGCTCCCTCACTCTGTCAAGTAGGAGAAGACCATCCCAGGTCTATTCAGAAGTGGGCTAGAGAAGTCAAAATGGGATCAGTGGCTAAACTTAATATTATTGTATGCTAAAAACAGTATTTTTAATTCTATACTGAGAAACATACTTATGAGAATTAATTCTAAGAAAATAATAAGCAAAGAAATTGCATATAGAATACAACACATTTAAATACAATCTTTAGTGATTGTTAACATTCCCTTGGGTAGTGACAGTACTGGGCATTGAACCTGGGGTGCTCTACCACTGAGCTATATCTGCAGCTCTTTTCATTTTTTTTATTTTGAGACAGGGTCTTGCTAAATTGCCCAGGCTGCCTTTGAACCTGGGTTCCTTCTGCCTCAGCCTCCCAATTATCTGGGATTACAGGTGTGCACCATTTGAAACATTTTCTATTGACTCAAAACAGTCTCCCATTTATTAACCATCACAACAAGTCAATGAGATAAAGACTGATCCCTACTTTAGAAGTGAGGAAACTGAAGCCCAGAGGGAAGACAATTTTCCCAAAGACACACTCTGACAAAGTGGCAAAACTAAACCTAAAATGCAAGTGTTGCTGTCTTCATCCTGTCCCCAGCCTAACATGCCACTCAGTAGTGCCCATTCTGGGAACATCAGCTCAATTGGAAAACAAAATGAATGAATTTCACTTGAGGAACTCCTGTATTCTTCTTCAGTTCCTTGCCTTCAAATCCTAAACCAAGCAATATATCCTGCTTCCCTGACTTTCCAGACATTATTAAACCCCCTGAAAATGTACAATTCACTGTCTGCATTCCTCAGTCCTCCAAGGGCCAGGAGCAACTCTGGAAATGCACTTAGGGCACAAACACCATGTGCAGCCTGGTTTATTTTCATCTACAATGTATGCTTACATTTATTCCTCCTACTGGACCATACAAGACTACTAAGTGGCCTGAAGGCCATTTTAGGGGATATGCAGTGCTTCCTCTTAGCTACCACCTAACAGCCCTAAGTCTGAGAGGCAATGCACAGAGTAAAAACTGCTGTAAAATTTTATCATCTACCACATATGTGGATAGAATAAAGGTGAAAATATTCAAATTCCTTTGGCTTTAGCACTTTGAAACTTAATGTAGCATCCTTCATAGAACTAATTTGTTCTTCAAGGCAGCTTATTAATGGAAAAGAGAAATGAAATATTCCTAAGGGAGTCATTTAAGTATAGATGAAGGTCAGCTAGTCTTTCCTTTAAAAAGTATTAATACCTCAGCATGGAAAAAGCAGCATTGCACACATTCAACAAATTTATTTCCACTTATTTTCTGGTGTATATACAAACATATGCATAGATGTATATGCATATGTGTGTATATGCACAAAAAATAAACATACAAGAAAAAGTAGTCTTAATGATCAGGGAAGCTATACAGCATCACAGAAAGATACACATTAAACTGACAATGTGAACCTGGGCAAATAATTGTTTTAGCTTCCTAATCTTTAAAGTGTCAAAAATAACTCCTACCACCATTGGATTATCAGAAGGATAATATGAACCAATACAAGTTAAATGCTTAGCACAACTTCCTGGCAATTGGCACTCAATAAATGTTAGATTTTTTTAAATGATGACTATTATCATCATCATTATTAATATTGATACTATTACTATCATCATCATTATTATTGCACAAGCAAGAAGCTTAAAGACTCATTTCTTCTGGAATGAAGTGAGAAAAGCCTATGTTGTCACTACAAAAAATTATTAGCCTGGAGAAGACTTGAGGAGCATGGTCCAATAGTCCATGAAGGGATTTAACAAGAACAATGCTGAGAAATTGTTCTCAATGTAAATGAAACAGTGGCCAAGGAGAAATGGGCAAATCTAAGTAGGAGAGACATAGTTGGAAAAAAGAAACTTTCTCAACTTCTCTGGAAATTGAACAGACAACCAAGAAAGCTGACTGGGTCCCTAGATACTACCTAAAAGTTACAAATACAGCATTTGTCCAGCATAAGTTAGTTCTAAAGGCCCAAGAATTCTATTTATGAATCTCTAATACATCATATGCCCACAAGCTATAATGGGAAATTTTCATTATCAATCTAAAGGAAAATCATACCAGAACCCTGGTTTCTGCCCTTTGACCAAAGCCAGTTCACATAACCACAGCAGCAGCTCTCTGCCCCAGCACCATAAAGAGCATGATCTCCAGTACATCTTCCCAGCACCATTATCACTTTCACCTTTAAATGTCATCATCTGAAGAAATTAATGGGCACATTAAATTTTCCACCTGCAAATGAGAAAATCCAATTTTTTCAGATGACTCAGGCTGAGAAGTAGTATGAATTTTCCATCTAACAATGAACTCAGAAAAGTCAATACCACACCCACATGAAGTTTTATTGATTTTCTTTACCCCAAGCCAATCTAAAAAGTGCATTGCTCTCTTAATACAAAAGGCTCAGTTACAGAATCACCAAAATGAGTGTTGTAAGCTAAACTGGCACTTTAATGTCAAAGAGGTATGACCCTAGATTTTAACATCTGTGAGCTCTTTCTATATAGCTCCAATGTTCTTGTATAGTCTAAGGATTGGACAAGCCTCTGAACTGATTTTCCTTGTGTATTTCAAATAGCCAAGCCCAACATTTACTGGAATCCTGCCCATCTTCATAGCTTCTTAAAGTATATTTTCCTCCATTTTCAAAACAAAATGTATATGTTTCCCCCAACTCAGTGAGGTTGGACTGATTGCTAAAAATAACTTGGAAAGAAGACTCAACAGACAATTTTGAGAAGGTCAATTTTTAAGATAAAAGGCAGGACCATATCCAGAGTACAAGACATAGATGGCACAATCAGAGAGCTCACAATCATCACGTCATTTCCTTGTAAAGGTGGTTTTTATCACATGCACCAGACAGCCCTGCTTCTACCAAGATTATTTCTAGAGAAGTGACACTCCTCTAACAGTTAACCTGTCTGTTCCCATCAATGGGATTCACACCCCTGACTTTGCCCCCACTTTCTGTAAGGGCTGTCTGGAGAATTTTTGGAAAGCTGTTTGAGATGCTTAGGCCAAGGATGCTTCAGGTGCCATACTCTTGAGACCAAGCAAATCTCCACAGTCAACCTGTACCCCAGCTGATACTATGGAGGCCTGCCATCTTAGGGAATAAACTATTATAGGCACCCAGCATGTAGTCAATGAGCTGGAATATGTACATATGTATAAAATATTACCATTCTGATCTGTATTGGGCTAGCTTTTTGCAAACACTGACTCCCAGCATGCATGCACATGAACACACATACACATACCCACAGTCACAGAGACCTATTCCTGGATCCTACTGTTCCTCCAGTTCTGCCAGGCTAAGTAGATAAAATGTTCCACATTAAGGATCTTATAGCTGTTTCCAGCTTAATGGGCTGGTGTCCCTTCCCCCTGCTCAGCTCCCTATATTTTAAATAGGGTCTCTGGGAATAAAACAATATTTTCTTTCTCTAATGGAAAGTTCAGGCTTTGAGGCCTGCCTGTAGGGGAAGAATTTGGCAAAGGAAGATCTTTTCCCCACACCCTACAAATCACAAGTCTTGGGTGACTGCCTACTCCCTCGACATAAAGCTGGCTCCAAGTGTAAAC